TGTCTTTGTACAATATCTGTCTGCAGGATCTGTAATGCACTGCAGCTTTAAGCTCTCATTCTCACTTTGCTTCAACATGTGTGTCTTACAGCTGATCACTGCCACAGTTACTGGGACACGAACGGTGTCTTCCATGATACTCAGGAATGTGAAAAGTACTGCTGTGGGGACTGCAGGACAAAATACTGCTGCAGTGACATAAAGTACAACTTTACTGAGAAAAAACAGGAACTCTGTTTCAGAAGGTGTGCTCTTCATTTTAGCCTTTTTTCCCTTTCAATGCTCCAGAAATGAGCACAAACTACAGCTTTTTTTTGTATTTGCAGGTCTGCTCGAGTGAAAAGAAGCTATCATGTAGAGTATGTGGGAATAGGGGTTCCTATTCCCATTCTCGTATGCACGGGTCTCATAATCTGCTGTGTGACTCGTTGCTGCTGCTGCTGCTGCTGCAGGACATCCAAAAAGAAAAATCCCAGACGAGAAATAATCAGTAAGTTTGCTACAGCTGCAAGCAGCCACACTGGCATATTATCCAGAAGCATCTTGTTTGAAATTATGTTTAATTCTTACAATGGAAAATGGCTGTTTGATGAGCTTTATGTGTTAGAGCTCTTTCCAATTGGGATGGTGGCTTACAGGAATTCTTGAAAGCAAGAAATAATCTGATGCACAAACGCTCACGAAACTGCAAAACTGTCAGTTTTACAGTTTGTGCAGGGTACATAGTAAGACACAAACAGATTTTTTATCCCCATTGTCTTTAAACCTTTGATTTAAAAGTTCAGTTGTAATGATGGGAACATCAAAATTTGCTTTCATTTTCAAACTACATGAAATCTTTCGCTTTCTCTAGTGTTAACCACGGTCTATCAGCCTGTACCAGCAGCCACACCCATGCTCACAACTCCACCACCCTCCTACCAGGAAAGTGGTAAGTTTTTTCATTACATTTTAAAACACAATAACTACGTCAGCTCAAACGTTTTAGAGTCTCATTGAGAGAATTTGTTAGCAAGCATGGCTGATGTCACCCAGGTTTTGAGGCTAGTCATCAAATGAAGCTAATAATCTGTTTTTGCTGTGATTTTAACACATATTTGATGGCATCTGATTTCCATTATTGATACAGTCACACCAAGGGAAACCAAAATTATTACAATCATGTAAAGAACTGGTGATTTTATTGCCTTTGATCTGATTGCTTCCATGATGGGGACCACGTCTTAAAAGCAACTTTGGTTTGTGAAGGCAACAATAAAAGGGCAATAAGAAGTGAAGTCTGTCTGCTAGCTGTCGGTAAAAGGGGGTCAAATTGCCAATAACATGTAATCTGATAATGTGGTGATTAACTGTGATAAATCTGTGAAAATCACAAATCTTCACACTAAATTGACTGCAGGCAGTCCAAATCAGATTGTTTGAGAATGAATGAATTTTACTCCAGTGAGACTAAACTGTAACACAGGAGTGATTTTTCTTACCGTTATGTCAACGTAACGATGATTTTAAAAAGACAATTCAATTCAATTCAATTTTATTTATATAGCGCCAAATCACAACAAAAGTCGCCTCAAGGCGCTTCATAGATACAGAGAAAAACCCAACAATCATATGACCCCCTATGAGCAGCACTTTGGCGACAGTGGGAAGGAAAAACTCCCTTTTAACAGGAAGAAACCTCCGGCAGAACCAGGCTCAGGGAGGGGCGGCCATCTGCTGTGACCTGTCAGAGGGTAATACACTTTTATTTGATCAAGACTGATAGAAAGCTCAAACAAGAAACCCTATTGCTGTTCACTAAAGGCCTTTGTCATGGACCTACACCAAAATCCAGTAGGCGTGAGGACTTTTGGAGGACCGGTCCCATTTTTTTTTATTATGTAGCATATTTCAGACTTCAAAAGTATATTCAGTAAATTTGTTTACTTCCTTTGTTCTTTACTATTAAAGGCATACTTAGTAAATACAAACAATATGTTGCTTATTTGTCTTTTCAGTCCCATTCACACAATTGCAGCCAATGCACTCCTTTCAACGGGTCAGCGAGCCTTCTGCAGCAGCATTACATTCAGATGAGCTGGAGGAGCTTGAACCTTGTCATGGACCACAATCTGTAAAAAAGGCTAAGATCCAAAAGAACTCATCTATATCCGTCTAAAAAGGGACTTCATGTTACAAGATACACGATAACACAGAGTTCAGAAATATTTACGCGTGACTGTGCTAATGCTAAGAGGGTAGAGTTCGTAAGAGAGTATAATACCTCACCATGAGCAGATAATCATTGTGAACAAAGTTAACAGCTGCTTACAAAGTCATGATCTCTTTATTTATCCGGGGAAGCAATGTTGAAGTGGTGACTGGTAGATGTACAGTCTCAGCTCTTTTGATGATTTTTATTTAGTTTTGTTTTAGTTTAAATGGGTTTGTATGATTTATTGTGAAAGATATAATAAAAAACAACTTCTGTATATTATATTGTGATGTGTTGTGATTGAGCTACATGTTTTTCTCTGTCCAGATGCTTAAATAAATATTCCATTTACAATGTAAATTTTTGACACTGATTTTTGTGTTGTTCATTTAGCAGTAAATGAAGAAAATATAACATTTACATTTTTTTAACGGGTCCATAAAACTGCACCTGACTAATGGGACTCATTGGTTTGGTGAAATAACGAGAGAACGGTTGGCAGTCTGTGGCAGCTTCAGACGACCCGTCTATCTGCAGAGAGCATCTGCTGTCACACGGGTGCGGTGTCAATAATATGTAGTACAACTAGTCTGTGGGTTACTTTTTCTTGTGTTGTTGTTGAACCGTCAACTGTGGAGAAGAGCTGAAGTGAAACCAAAAGTTAAAACTAATGAGAAATATTCAGACTTTACTTTTCTTTTTTTAATTTCTCCTATAAATGGTGAATTCTGCTGTTGCTCGTTTTTCTGCTCTGATCTGTCAACAGATCAGCATTCGACTGATTCACAGCATCATCCATGTCGAGCAATGCACAGCTGAGATTTTACATGGGATGATGTTTGCGGTGAGTGAGTCGACCTCTCTCTGTACAGACACAACTGTGGTAACATAAATTAAACACCAGCAAGTTGATTAAAAGCTCGCCGTGACCACTTAGCCTGATTAGGTAAGTGAATCCAGATAAGGGAATTCTGGGAATGAACTTTGCACTGGTGTCATTTCTGTATTAGCTCTGTCTGGGACCTTTGCTCTGATACTTTTTCACATTCAGTAGATTTTTTGTTATTCTAGAGCTGAGCCAAACATTTATGTCTCAATTTTACATCTGGTGTAAATTTGATTTTTCTCGCTGGTGCTTTTACTGCCATGACTGTTAGTGAACTGTGGCTCAAACAACATTTTTCTGTGGCTCAAACAGAAGCAGTAATAATAATAATAATAATAATAATAATAATAATAATAATAATAATAATAATAATAATAATAATAATAATATAACCTATTATAATAATATAACCTCCTGGACAAGAGTCTATTCAACACTAAAGATGTGATTAAAAATCAAGTTTGTACAAAAGCATACAAATTCAATTCATTTCTGAAGAGTTATAACTATTATTATCGTCTCTGCTTGTCTTTGTGTAAAAATCACCTTTACAAAACCACTGTAAAAAGCACAAAACATATACAACCCTTTTAATGAGCCAGGCACACCGGTTCAACAGCTGTTGACAACCTGATGATGTGACAAAACTCACCTCATGCAAAACTGGTTTCTTAAATATGAATGGTCTCCACAGAGCACCTTTGGGAAGTGGTGGAAGATTTACATCATGGATGAACACAAATCTGCAGCAACTCAACTCTGTGATTCTGTCATGTCAATACGGACCTGAGTCTCCAGTGCTTTTTAAATCTATGCCATGAAGAGTTCTTAAGGCAAAAGCTAGTCCAGCACCGTACTAGCCAGAAGTATATAATGATGTTTTACCATCATTATATACTTCTGGCTAGTACGGTGCTATATATATATATATATATATAAGAAAAAAATAAGACTTAATAAAACATCTTACTTGAATGAATGAATGAAGTTTAGTTTTTACATCCATAAACGTGTGATTACATGTTTTCACCAGTACGAGAAAAGCCTTCCCAAAGTGCACTCAGACAGATATAGCCAGAATGGGCATGCTTGGTTTTAATCCCATAATAACCAGCACCAGCTCCCTCTTATAGCATCTTACACTGTCCATAAATCAATACAGTAATAGTGCTGACTGCAGCAATCTGAGCCATTGAAGCAATGTGGGACTAAAACGGGAGAAATGACCCTGACTGTGTGCACTGCTGCTGCAGTCTACTGTCTAAAATAAGCTCTCTCCTTGGAGCGTGGCTCAGACTGCTAATGAGCACTTATGTGGGAATGCCAGTGTCGTGGATAGTGTGGCAGATAATCTTTACAGCCAGCCAGCTTCACTGATTTCTTTCTCCTCGTCTCTTTCTTCTTCTTTTTTCCACTTTCTTCTATCTCAGCCTCTGAGTATGCTTTGTTCTGTCAAAAGGCATTCTTGTCTGGCCTCCCACCCGAGCTGCCTTTAAGATATTTCAGCATTTTCTCCACATCCCACACCCACATTTTTCCTTCTCTTCTAAGTTCTTCTGGTATTTTTTATCTCAAAATGAAGCAGCTCATCTCTCACATAATAGACAGAAGGAACACTGCTTCATTGAAAATAAAACCGCCTTTTTGATCTGGCGTTAGATAATATCTGGGACTCTGCAGTGAACCAGTGAGCTGTGTGTGGGAGCTCCGGCTGACAAAAGCACAAACTCCCCAGTGCCGGCTCTCGCTGTGGCCAAGGTGCTTCAAACAGACACCGAACTTTTCCAAATGGAAACACAAAGAGCCACAACAGCCTCCATGTTTTTAAATCAAAGTTAATGTCACATGTGTACAAAGAGAACGGAACCAAAAATGAGGAAACATCATCATCAACTGTTCAGATCCAGATAAACTTCTGAATTTATGAAAGGTATTTCTTGCTTCTTGATCCTTTTGACTAAATACACAAAACATATATACTTTACTATTTAATTAAAAAAAATAAAATAAAATGTTGTCATGCTAAAAAAAATGAAGGTGGTCTATGGTGAGCAGAGTCGAGCTTATACCTGGTAAACATGAGCATGTTAGCATGCTGCTGCTAGCAACAACAGAGCATATCCTGTGTGTGGTATCGATAACTGTTCATCCAGGATTAGATTAAATGAAAAGCAGTTACTATGTGTAACCCTCAAGTTATAATGACCAAGTAGTAGTTGTTATACAGGAATACTTGTTGTATTTATCTTTGTCGTACCAACATGGTTTCTTTAATCTATCATGCAAAAGGCATGTTTATGTCTTATTTTCTGATCTAGAGGGGATGTATTGACTGAAACAGCACTTGCCTCTGAAAGCCTCTGTCTGTTCATCCCTGTAAAGATCAGAAGAGGGACGAATATTTTAAGTAACTGAGCTACAAACATTCTCCAGATATCTCTGAAACAGCAAATTCATCCTTGGCCTGCACGTCTCCTCAGGCTGATTGAGGACATCTCTGATGCTGTTAGCCGCGATTCACTGTGAAACATTTCCAAAGGGGAATATTAAAATAGATCCTAAGTCTATTTAAAAAATACTGACCTCACACAATTGTGCTTCCATTAGTCTTGCCACAGAAATGGGTTTTAAAGTTCCTTTAAAAAATAAATTAAAGCATCTGTGAAAAGTTGTTGAAGATGTTTAAAAATGTCTACAAAAACTCAGGTATAAACATCTTTTTAGGGCTAAATGTGCTCATATATGGGATCATTTTTAAATCCCTCATAAGGGCAGCAGGGGGCAGAGAAAGTTTAACAGCAGGTTCATGAAGCTGGTTCATGATGCCAGCAGGTCACATGAGAAGAACTGAGCCTCATCCTGCTGGAAGCTGGTGTATGTAGACACTGATAACGCTACCACAGACACCAATCCTAAGCTTGTTTTAAAGTTGAAGTCACACTGACCAACTAGTTTAATCAGCAGGATGATATTTGATCAAAATGAGCTAAAACTCTTAATTATAAAAAGGAGCTGTTTTATAATTACTTTATTCTGGATTTAAGCTTTAAAACTGAAAGAGTTGCCTTTTTTCTTCCTTTTTCCTTTTAGTGTATTTGATTGCAGCTCAATCACTGATCCTTGTAAAAAGTTACACTCTTCTGTACCCTGTATGTGTTAACTTGAATATATCCAAAATGTATATTAATTATGTTGATATTTAGCTTTCTGTCCACATAAAAAAAAATGTATTGCGTCAAAAATGGCAACTTTGAAAATCCTGCTCAACCCACATTAATGCGTCGTCACCTTTTACAATCAAATCTGAACGAACCCATCCCGACAGACACCCCTCCCCCCTCCCCACGGGGAAACAGGTCCTAAAAACCTGTAAACTCATTCCAAGAATGCCACCTGTTTGTGTAATTAATGTGCAACTGTTTGCGTGACGTTTATTGTGTGGACAGTTGAGGTGACACGCTGACAGCTGCGCGCAGATTTGACCTCAGAGAAACAGAAATTTGTGTGGGTGTAGTCCCACTTTGTTAGAGGGAGTATCTGCTGCTGATTATGTCCCTGTTGGCACTGCTTAGTCACAGTGCATACATTATTCCACTCTGTCTTTTCAGGAGAGCTAAAGGCCTGAAATAAAGTTTCCTGGGTCACTGTGCACATTTCTGCCCCTTTTGTCCTCCAGATACGTTCCAGAGATGTCGGGACTTTAAAGCTAAAAGAACATTGAGTTTCTTGTATGCATTACTCCGATGTACATGCACCTGCAGCAACAGGTGGTCACAGAGGGAGGCACTTTGGAGCGTGTGAACTCAACAGATAAAACAGTCTGCTGTCTTTTCACCCGCTCTCGCTCTGTTCAATGGCCTCCAAGTATCCGGACAACCTTGCCTGGTATTTTGGCACAAGTCCCTTGAGTGTTGATGTCAGCTGAGAGAGGGGAGAAAAGGAGGGAGGGAGGGAGGGAGGAAGAGAGGGAGGAGGGGATGAAGGCCTGAGAGAGAGAGAGAGAGGGGGGGAGGAGTGAGCGGGCTATTCAAGGCACTTGTCCTCTGTCTCCCTCTGAGCACAGAGGAGGGGGAGGCGCACATGCATTGAGGGAAGCACACTTGCACACATAGTAGTAGCAGCCGCATTTTCACAGGCTGCTCTTCAGACTGACAGCAGCAAACGGAGTTGAGAGGCAGCGCAATAGAGCGAGGGAAACAAGGCAGGCATCCAGAGAGGAGAGCAAAGCAGAGGAGGCTCACGCAGGGTTTCCCCTTACTGCCCTTTGGCTCTCTGGGACCCACAAAAGGAATCTCCTCTGTGCTCTTCTTGAGCTGAACTTGCTTTGCCAGAAGACCTGCACCCCACTATGGCAGCCCTGGTGGGACATGGGAACCCTTGTCCCCTCTTATCTGATTCCTCTAAACTGTGGACTACCTTTATTTTGGGTGTGTTGACCCTTTCGACTCAAGTCTGGGGCTTTAACTTGGATACT